ATTTTGTTAAATAAAATTCAATAGTTTTGGTAGTTTTAAGTATTATACAACTGATTTTTGGGTATTGTATAACTACTTTTTAAATATTACGAGACTATTTTTAAGTATTACATGATTAATTTTTAACTATAACGTGACTGATTGATAGGCATTGCATGATTAGTTAATAAAAGTGTGATTAGTTAGTAAAGTATTGTATTACTAGTTTTCAAACATTGCGTGACTTATACATTGCCTAAAAATTAGTCATGCAATATCTATAATCTAGTCACATAATGCTTAAAAATCGAAGGTGCAATGATTAAGTCACATAATGTCTAAAAATTAATCTCACAATATCTAAAAACTAGTGATATAATGTTTAAAAATCAGTAATGCAGTACCTAATAACTAATTAATTTGCTTACTCTCGGCTAAATTTAAGTTACTAAAATCATATAGTGTTTAAAGATATATCTATCTAATTTCAACCCTTTAACTTTGGGGTTCTATGAATATAAATTATAAGAATCTAAAACGCATACTTGGATGTCATCTCTGCTTTTTGGGATAGTGAGAAAAAGTTAGATGACGAAATAAACAATATTTGGAAAGAAAGAGAAATCATGATTTAATTTTTAAATTTTTGTCTAGATGGCCGGATAGCAAAAACTGAAACTATTTTAACTTATTTGAAATTGTTTAAAGGGTATTTTTGTTAAATTATGTCAAAAAGTGGCTAAAAATAATTAAAATTATAATGAACGTTATTTTTGAATTGGGTTTATAAGGAATGTTATCTCTTACAATTTTACCTAAATAATACTATTTTTGAATAGCATCAACACTGAAAATTATTTTTGAGTAACTCACAAAAAAACTTTTTCACAATAATGGTCGGGTAGGGCAACTAATATTATTTTTACCTAACATCAACATTGAAAATTAATAACTCTTTAGGCAAGTAAGTAATATTATTCTTTTGAAAATTAATAACTCTTTTTAAATGGCTGGATAAGGCAAGTAATATTATTCTTAACTACCTGTGACACCCACAAAAGATGTGTGACAGCCATTATTAAAATGGTGTTTATTTATATAGCGAGACCTCCTACATTGGAAGACTCTAGACATTATATAAATTTCTAATTTTTGGATGCTTCTAAACACTTTAATATAAATTTCTAATTTTTGGATGCTTCTAAACACTTTAAGATATTTATAAATGTTTCAATGCCCTCCTTACAATATATTTACAACTTTTCAATCCCCTCCAAAATATTGAAGTGCTTTAATTTGTAACTATAAGTTTCAAATTTCATAAATATAAATTTTTAATTTCAATATTTATCCTATAAAATTTAATTTAGCAAAAGAAAAATAAATACATAAAAGAAAAACCTTTTCAATACAACATAAAAAATCTTTTAAATATAATAGGTATATTATTTAACTTGCCTAAATGAAATTAAAATTGAATAAGGAATTTACAATTAAGTAAAAAATTTTGAAGAATTTTGATTTTAATTCTTTCTACAATTTTAACTTTTATATATATTTTCACAATATATCCAAATCAACTTCCAGTTTTATTTCCCTCATCATTTCCCACGCAGGTCAGTTTTTGTCACATTAGCTATCACCAAGAAAGACTTACCGTGTCACGATTGGAATTTGATATAATATAATAAAATATTATTTTCTTATATAGTATAGTTAAATTTACAACATAAATGTAATAAATTACTAATTTCGGTTGAGCCCAATAGAATTTTAGAATGCGACCTTAAACCCCAACCTGAAAACTCACCGAGTCTAATTCCTTGTTTTCGAAGCCTTGCCCAAAGTTTTAAAAAATTAGTGCCCAAAGACCAGCCTTAATCAATGCACGTAGGCCCAAATTTAAGCGGGCTTCAGTGGTCAAGCCCAATTACCAATGGGCCGAATCAGAGCCAACTAAATCCCCCCAGGCCTGACTCGCATGTTAAAACAAAATTCATGATTTATTATAATTCACAAAAGGTAATAATTCGATATTGCTTTTTGATCATGGTGCAAACAAATTATAATTATTCTAGAACAAAAAGAAAACAATTTATGACTATTCTGCAAATGAACGCTACAAACTAAATGAAAAAAATTGTATAATTTTCTTTCCCATTACTTTAGCAAATACACTGCTCTCATCCAACGGAAAGGGTACTTCACAATCTCTTACCGTTAATATAAAGATGACACTGATTACTTATTTAGCCAAGGAAACACACTGGAAAATGAACGTTGGTCGACTGTAAGAACTTCACTCCAGTTTCTGTTCATGCATGGAATATTCATTTAGCAAGAAACATTCATGTGTTAGGCGTGTCGTGATTCTCTATCATCTAACAGATCACTTCTGCAAGACAACCAAGAAAGGTTGCACTGGCAAATGGCTAACTCGGGAGCAAAATGGTCATATGCCGACGTTTCTGTAAGAGACAAAACTTCAAAACACGACTATATATAGTAGAGATATCATGAAAGAAAAAGCACTGGGAATGCAGAGTTACCAAAAGAGTGTGCTCAAACTGAGCACTGCGTTTGCCATCTGCAGTAACAACAAGGGTTAGGTTTCGATTCTTGTATGCAAGATGTTATGATGGTGGATTGGATTATAAAAAAAAATGTTTGCTACAGTTCTCTAGCTAAGAAATAAGGTTGCCTTTAATACTGGAAATATGTTGCCTTTGTTGCAGGATTTTCCACAGTGCAGTTAAGCAGCACAGATCCCTTGGTGGAATTTGGAAGAGACGTTCTCGTTTCAAAGGTCCAGGGGGATATAGTTATACTTGTTGGAGAGAGTTTCAAGTTATTTCTAAATGGTGCAAGAATTGGAAATTTTGCAGAAGGCCAAAGCACTTTAGACCGAGCCTATGAGCTAAGGCCACTCAATTATGGCAGCTAAAGCCCTAGCTGGTTGATCTGTACATTGGCAAATCTGCGGTGCCTGTTCATTTTCATTTCGCTATCACTGAAATGCAGCCTACACTAAAACTGAATAACTATAGCTTTACCAAACAATTAGATTGATATCCCACAAATAACTATAGGCAAATAAACTATGATGGATAATAAATGAAATAGAAAAAATTAATAAACAAATAAAATAATATAAAATAATATAAATATTTGAATATTTGACTTGTTAATTAATGTATTATTTTTTTATTTAAAAAATAAGATTCGAATCCTATCTCTTTCAATTATATAAAAATAAAATTAATATAAAATTAAGTTATATAGATATATACTGTATAGTGAGATTTTAACTTGAGATTTAAAGATTTTAAAATATTTTCTTTATTATTGAGATAAAGCCTCTTTGATAGTAAAAGGATATGAACATATAAATAAACCCAAACTCTGAATTGAATGAAAGATTAATTCAAATTTAAATCTTTCAAAATTGAACACCAATTCAACTAGTCATTTTATATACTGGGTGTACGAAAATAAATCATGTTCTTTGATTGGGGTCATTGTTTGGATCTTGCTTCAAGCCTCCAAATTCATAAAATCAATACATAAGATTGGTCACGGTACTGGAAGGGACTCAAAACAATGAGAGAGGTAGCTTAGGCTAGAGATTTTCTTCTCGGAAAGCTTAAACGATGGATGTGAATGAGCAGGTGTATCTGACAATTATGAGCTAGGAAATTAAATTACCTCTAGATATCAATGATGGTGTTCGTGATATTGTGTAAGCATGACGGAACCCATCACTTTCTACACATATTAATCATAATGAAGCATGATCACCCATAACTACATACTATATGATTGGTATTAACAAAATTTTAGGTCGTTCAATTAATTGCAGTCGGATTCAGCTAATTATGTGCCTGTGCTAATCATGTGGCAGGAGGTTTGCGCATGTCAGAGTCCTCTAGAAGAAGACACGATACTCAATTTTCTGGCATTAATATTGATGCGATGGCAACTGGCAATGATGTTTAGTTAATACAGAATGATCACAAAGATGTAAGAAAGAATGTTTCTACATTTCAGCTACGTAATTGTGGAGTTATCACAAAGATGAGAGAGTATGTGAATGACATGAGCAATGCTTTGAAAGATAAGGTTATTGCTTTGAACTTTCAATGCATTGCTCTGCTGAAAAACGTACTAAACTGCCACTGAAAAGTTGCCGACGGAATCCTCCAAAGCTAGTTTCAACTTGATTTATGGAAACAATTAGTTCTGAAAATCAATTTAGTAAGGAAAAATAGATAGGGTGAGACATTGGAAGAAGGCCAACCGGGAGCAGCATTTGGTCCATTATGGTTCTACCCATTTTTCTGGTCACCGAGGCCGGAGCGCCGATCTTTTGAGAGATTACAACCCTTGTTTTGTTCTTGGTTTGGGCCATTCTCGGTTCAATCAAAGCTTGGATTGGGTTAGAGCCGTCCCCAATCCGCTTCTCCAAACGGCATAGATCTTATTATCCTTTTACAAGAATGTCAATAGGTATTCCTTATTCTTTAATTTTTAGATATTTTATCTTGAATTATATAAATATTTGATTAATTTTTTAAAATTATTATTCATATTCAAATATCTTAAAATTATTCATTATATCTCCGATTAAAATAAATTTTTATATATATTATAAATAAAAATTCAATTAATAAATTAAAATTTATTCACAAAAAATAAATCTAATTTTTATTCAAATTCGTAATTTTATTTATCAAATTTATAATCTTATTTAATCAAAAATAATATAAAATATCCAACTACAAGATATCCATTGTTATTTTTAAATTTTTGACATCTAACCGCTAACAATTTCTCACAAAGTTAAATTCATTACCAATAAAAAGAAAAAAAAAATTATGTTTAAGCACGTCATTATGGATGGATTGTTCTTATCAATGTTCTTTCTCACTCCTAAAAGGACCACAAATATTATGTTTCAAGCAACTTATTTAATTTTACTATTTTGACTAATCAATCAGGCCCAGGCATATCTATTCTAGATGTTCATGTTCAATTCAACGGTCCGGATACAATCTCCAACAAGCCAAGTACCCGTAGGAGATCCACTCTCCCTGAGAGAAACAGAAAAACAAAATAGGAAGATCGAAATCGAAAATCGAAGCAGAAGAACAAAATCAAGTAGTCCCAGCACCCAGCAGCATTTTGATTTCTCCAATTGAATGAGGGTTACTAACTGTAATAACTGTCTCCACCGTTGGATCCACATAAGAACCCAAGGCCAATAAGAGGGAGAAGCTGAAAAGTGCGAGGGATCCGAATCTGAAGAACAAAGATCCAAATGACGGATCCGATTCTGGATCTACAAGAATCCGGTTGGGAGGAACTGAGGAGAGAAGCTCGAAAGATCGAAGGCGATCTCGATGTCAAACTCTCTTCTTATGCTAAGCTGGGTGCTAGGTTCACCCAAGGAGGTTTGCTCATTTTCCTGCTACCTTTTTCCATTTTTCTGTCCCTGTTTTGAATTTCGTTCCCGTGATTGTTATTTTCTGTTATATGCATTGCATTTTCGATTTTCTTTTTGTAGATTTCTGAAATTGTGAAGAAATCTGTTGAAGAACTGAACAAACTCTAAGAGCTAAATAGATTGGATTTGTTTAAAACAGAGAATTGTTTGTTGTTAAGAAGATTTATTCTATTTAGGAATCCATAGGAATACGGTGAGCTTGCTTTTCCTTTGTGATGATATGTACTTACATTTAAGTTATTTAGATACTGGTTCGCCAACGGTTGGGTCAAGCAGGTCATGGAAGTCTATGGAAATGGAAATTCAATCATTGCTTGAGAAACTGCTGGACACAAATGATGCTATGAGTAGATGTGCTGCATCTGCTGCACCGACTACTTCAGTGACACAGAAGCTTGCAAGGCATAGAGACATACTACATGAGTTTACTCAGGTTTATTCCACTTGACTATGGTGTAATTCTTATCTAGACTTGTTTTTATAAGTCAGATTTCCACGTTTATTACCAAGTATTATGAGCCTCAAAGAGATATGAATATTTTGTGATATCTTGTCCTACGTTCAAATTATGAGTGTAGCAGTCACCTTTCTTCTAGGGCGTAGAATAGTCCCACAACTTCTAATCATTCAAATTATTTATTTAAGAGTTCATGGTCCATGATTTTTATTTGCTTGATAAATAATTCAGGGGAGAAAATATATAGTACAAGCAACAAGGTAGCATTTGGTCCAAAATTCTTGAACAAGAGTTGGATTTTTGTTTATTGCAATGCATAAGTATTAAATATGGTATTGTTTTTATTGTTGCTTTCCATGAAGTTCTGAAAAGATTTTTGGTTCATGGTTTTGTTTTTAAATAATTGATAGCTTCATATCAACAATTTAATACAGTTATAGCAGCTTTGGAGCTCAAACTTTGTTATAATTTCTTTCGTAGGTTATCTGTTCTGTTTTCTATATGTGTACTTAAAGAAGCATTTTTTTGTCCATGGACAATTGGGAATACATGAAATCGCTTCCATATACATGAAAACTTGCTGTAGGGATAACATGTGATTTGCAGTCTTGTCGTGTTTGACAACTAGAAGTGTCCTTATCTACTCATTTCGAACCATGAGAGAAGTGGAAGAAGAGCCTTGTAGTATCGCTTTTACCTGTTACAGATCCAACTAAGGCCCAAATGCATTCACTAGCTCTCAATTTCTGAACTATATAGTCCTCCCTTATGCATTTACACTGCTGTAGAACCGAAACATAGGATTTCTTTAGGTGCTTTATTTGCTATTCTGGTTCATTGCACTATAAATTAATGTGCCCATGTTCCATGGAATAACCCCTGATTATTGCTGCTTTTAGATGTTTATCATTTGGACAAGTTGATTAGTATTTCTATCCTTTTGGAGTAATGATATAAATTTTGTTAGGAATTTAGAAGAATCAAGGGAAATATAAATTCAATGAGGGAGCATGCAGAGCTTCTGAGTTCTGTCAGGGATGATATCAGTGAGTATAAGGTAGTCATGTGATTTAAACTCTGAACTTTGTCACTCTCATTGCTAGTACTACGTTGTTTCCCTAAGTTTACCTTATCTGCCTTCATGCAGGCATCTGGGAGTATGTCACCGAGAATGCAGTTACTCAGAGAGCGAGCAGCCATCCATGGAAGCATAGCTCATGTAAGAATTAAATGTTCTTTCTTTCATCAATGTGTATCTTGGTGCAAAGAACTTTCCCCTTTTGTGTTTTTCCAGAAGATGTTCTATCTTGCAATTACTTAATGGTTCAGAGGGGATGTTGATTTGGATGTGTTACACAATTACACTTAACAGAAGAAAGATCCTAAAACTAGTGATTTGGTTTGTAGAACCCAAAATCTCTATTCTCAAAATCTAAATCTCAGTTACCAGAAGCTAACTCAAAGTTTTGACAGAAACCCTTTTTATATGAGATGCACACACCTTGAATCAAGTCCATATAAATAAATGACAGCGAAGTCTGAAAATACAACCCCAAAATACATAGCCCTATTTCCTAAATTTTTGCCTATAAGAAGCATTCCTCCAGTTTAGATGATGGCCTTTGATCTGTTTGATTTTTTTTGGTTAATGATGTATACCCTTTTGCTACTTGATCATCACCACTACATGTGTGCCTGACTGCTTTCTTGCCATGGAAGGAGGAACTGGATTTAATTCAAACACTACGCAGGAGACTCATGACCCCTGAAAGTTGATTCTTCTTAGTGTTATTATCAGCTATCATAGTTGGGGATTTATAGCAGTTCATTCTTCATTCTAGGAGTGATGCCAGGGATTTTGCATCATCTGCATTTTCAGCTCAAGTGAAACATAATATGTGACTAAGTTCTAATTTATATACCCAAAAAGGAAACTTTTGTACTTGGGCTGGGAGGGGGGAAGGGGAACTCAATCGAAGTCCAAAACGGATCCTGTAACCTCTCTCGCTCTCTCTCTCGTCGACCAAAACTTGTCACAAACACACAAACAAGCATCCTTCTTTGCTTACACATCCTTTTTTATAGCTGTCCACAGGTGATTTAGGTTATCTTAAAAGCACTTCAGTTCCGTTTTTACTTGACAAGATTGATGTGACACATGGAAGGACACTTTAGGCTTCCCATGGGTGTCATAATATTTTGTTTTGCTAGCTTCAGTGCCATGTTACAAATCACGTTTGTATCTTATTTATTTTGGGTAGTTTTTCCCCTTTTCCCTATCTGTCAAAGAGTTATATAATTTCCATCTTCCTGACCAATATGTTTGCTTGCTATAGATAGATGATGTGATCAATCAAGCTCAAACGACAAGGGCAGTGCTGGGCTCCCAAAGAGCTTTGTTTGGAGATGTTCAAGGGAAAGTAAAACTTCTAAGTGACAAGTTCCCTGTTATCCGTGGCCTGCTTGGTACTTTTCAGTGTATCTTTATTATTGACTTTTTGTTCTTTATATTATTTATTACTAATTAATTCCCTTTGTTTTCTAGGCTCTATCAGAAGGAGGCGTTCAAGAGATACTCTTATCCTGTCTGCAGTAATTGCAGCTTGTACGTTGTTCCTCATTATTTATTGGCTCTCAAAGTAACTAGAGATGCAATTTTACTAATACCCAAATGTTGAAAGTGGTTGTGTTTTGCTAAGAGAATTTTGCTTATAATTTGTTAGAACAGATCAAATCACTCTGTAGCTATGCTTGATCACAGAAAACTTTCATCTTTGTTTCATATGCAAATCTCTTCGTTGCTCCGACACAGACGTTTCGTGTAGTCAAGGTGGTTCCTTGTCATGGTCCGATCGTGGGGTCAATTTCACTTTGTGGTCACGGGGTCTCATCAAGTATCTAGGTGCCTTTAATTTCAGCAATATGCTAGCTTTGCGAGCTTGATCTGTTAATTGTCGGGACACTGGCAAAGGGGCAGCGGTGACAAAAATCCAACTGGCATTTCAAACAAAATTATCTAAACATCATTTGCCATTGCAGCTGCTTTTTTCTTTTTAATTGAATATTGATTAGTATTAATATACTAGAACCCATTCACAGTTTTCTCAGTTGGAGAAAAGAAAAAGAAAAAGAATGAAGAGGGGAAGAAAACTTAAAGAGGCAAGAAGTGATCAGAACTGGGTCAGTAGATCCTGAATCCTGCTGCACCTGCAGAGGGGGGTGGACTCTGTCTGAATTGAATCACAAAGCCAAATAAAAATCATACTACTACCAATTAAAGAGTGGGAGGGAGGGGGGTTGGGGAAGGAGTCAGTACAGGTGGCATTGGCAGTGCAAGCAAAAACAAAAGAAAAAGAAAGAGAGAGATGCATGTATCTTACTTTCATGTTATGTTGGCAACGTGCCTCGAGGCTACAGCCTGAGCGAGGGAGGAGCCCCATCTGTTTGCTTTGAGGGCTGATATGGCTGCCTCGACGCAGTTGGCAGTACGTACAACGTACTTTGTTTTCACAGTGAAACTGTTCACTCCCTACTGGCTACTCCGCTACTGCAGCAGCAGCAGCTTGAGATGCCAAAAGAGGCTACACCCTTCACCCTCCCTATAAATGTCATCTTTATTGGACTTCTACCCCATCACCGGACTCAGAGCTTCACCGAGATTAGAGTTCCCCCTCGCAGGCTTTTTCCAGACACTCGCTGGATATCTACCGCTCATATCTCTCTACTGTTTTCCTGTATTACTCTTAACTTATATTTTTTCTTATATCAAATGCCAGTTTCATTTTATTAATTAATCAAACACTAGCAACATCCATGCCTTTGAATACAAATCATTTTTTTTTCTCAGAACATAATTTTATAGAGTATGCTTTGATCAGAATTGAAATAAATATGAAATTAATTATTATTGCAAGAACAACTTTGAGCCCCCTTTTTGACTAAACAAAAGAGGGTTAGAAAATGGGTCAATGAGGGTTCGGTGGGAGGAGAGAGGAAGGCTGAACAAAGGGAAAACAATTTGTTTTATTTTTGGCTTAGTGCGGGTCGACATCCCAACAATCAGTGAGGAAAACTATAGGCAGGGAATGAAGTCATTTTCAGGTAATCTTTCAGCTAACTTCCATGTTTGTATATTGCTTCTCTCAACATGCTTTGAGCTTTATTCCAAAGCTATATTCAGCATTTCCTTTTTTTCTTTTTTGGTTACAAAATTTCAGAATTTTCTTAAATGTTCATAAAAGGGTTGGCTAGCTAGCGACAAATTCTCCATCTAATGGAAGCATTGAATGTGTCTACCTGCCATTTATATATACAATTGAATTATAGCATTATTAATGCATGCTCATAGATTTCATGTAAAATTGTCAGGGGAGCTTTTCAAAGAGAAAAATGGTGGATGGAAGAAGAGAAAGGGCATTTAGTCCAAGTGTCCAACCAAAAGATTAAAATAAGATGAGATGTACTTTGGAAGTAGGCCATCGCTCTCTGATGGGTTAAGGTTTTCATTAGAGTGTCTTTTTTTTTTTCCATTGAAGGTCTCCTTGGTCGGATCCAGTCAATTATATGTCTGAGTCCGACCTCCATCCTTGTGTCCCACAATGACTTTGAACGTACGAAAACGCCCATATGTCGAGAGCTATGTTTCAGCTAATATTTTTGTCTCCTTAACCCAATATCTGATGCTAATAATATATTATACTATGCTAGTATAGCATATTTATGTACGTATGATAAGTAGATTAATATATTCTTTTTACTAAGCCAAATAAATGCATTCAATTCAAAAAATCGTTGGACCAGGTAGATTAATGTATTTATTGGTATCAATACAAAAAATGAGGGTTTTTCTTTGAAAATTTCCGTTAGAATTGTTGCGAAATATGTGTTTTTTTACATATGTATCTTTAGGTTAGCATCTTATTAATCAATCATCTTAACAGAATTAGAGAAAAAGAACAACCCAATTAAACTTGTATGCTTCTTCTTCTAGAAAATTGACTAGTCAGTAGGTTAAAAGAAGGGAATGGAAATCACCCCATGGGATGTGTAATACATGAAAGGACTGGACCATATAAGATATATGTAATGGAAAATCATGGGTTAAAAAGGACCTTTGGTTGCTAAATTTGTAACTCCAGGGGCCACCACCAGCCATTGTTCTTGGGTGTGGCTCCAAAGGCATACCATTAACGTCCAACAGAACCTGCCAGGCCAGCGATGCCCTAACTACAGAGAGACATTCAAAGCCTGCCCAAGGCATCCATACAGGACCCACGGTCATTTGTAACTAGGTGACTTAAAATTTTACCTTTAAGGGCAAATCTGGGGAAAACAAAACCCTTTTGCACACATGGGGATGGATGGTGATAGTTTTCAAAAATGTTAGAGAAATGACAGCCATCTTTTTCAGCAAAGTTAGGGTTACTTTGCAAACATCTAGCAACAAAAAGTAAAACCCTCCATGGAGCAGATGCAGCGTAGGTATAGAGGCCTAACCAAATTAGCTATAACACCATCCAAAAGGAAAATAGAAAATAGAAAATCCATCTCTATGCAATGCAAGGACAAAAAAAAAGTAAATTCGATTAAAGGATTTCTGTCTTCTGTTGTCACTGACAACTACGTATCTCTGTACATGTGTGAGAGAGAAGATATCTGAGTGGTCAAATCGATATATCAAAAGCTTTTTAGTGTAATACTTTTTGTTTGATTTTGTTATTCTTTCTATATACTAATAATTTGGCAGTGAAATACTGAATTCCCTCCCAAGGAGGCGCAGAGTATCTGCAAAACGAGTCCTCTCTGCCTATTACCAGCTGCCTAATGTAGCAGGCATACCTATCCTGAAAGCTGCCGGCGACCAAACTATAACTATTTGTTACATTACGGGGTCATATGAATGTTTATGCAGTAGTTTTATTTTAAGTGTAAACCTTAATAATTCTTCATTTTAAAAGTCAAGTTCAAGAAACGGACTTGGAAGGAATCATCAGATAACAAGGTCAGAAACTAACGTGGCAATTACCAACCCCTTGAGAGATAAGAAAACCTGATGGATGACATTGAGAAATTTTTGCTTCTTGTTTTCTTTCATCTTGAACCCCACCGGGAAGTGCATTGGATTTAAAACCACCCAGGATGCCATTTTGGCATGTTGATTCTAGAGAAGTACTCTTGATGATCAGTATATGATTTTTCCTTATGAAATGATAGGACAACTCTGGTATATATGTGACACTCTATGTGCTAATATCTTCGATTCTATCACATCTTGGAATGAATGAATACGGATGTTCAATATCATGAGAAAATAAGTGACAGGTTCAGCTTCTTCCTTGGCTTTTCTTTGGTTGCTAAAATTCAGAGTCCTTTTTTCGGCTATTCTTTAAGCATTAGTGACTTTCATTTTATCCTTTTGGCCACGGCCGGTTAGATTTCACACGGTGCCAATGCACAGATTCTTTTTTTTTTTTTACAGGCTCTTAACATACAAAACCACCATTTTTGGAGGGGCATAGTAAGGAAAAGACAGATGAGTCCCAATGTGTAGTGAGGTGGGTACGTTGGATTGGAGGTGGCAAGGCAGACCAGACCAGGTTACACCAAAGCTAAAGTAAAATCTATAGAGGATAGGTGCCCGGCATTTAGGGCTTTATTTTAACAAAAGAGTTTTTACAAAGATATGATATTGTGGCCCAGTTGGAGACACCATGGAATTGTAGAGAACCGAGAAAGGGCTTTCACAGCCCCTCTTAACTGTGAAAACAACAAGTGAATGAGCCAAAGCTAATCACTCCCATGCACACGTCCCTTTCTTACTTCCTCTCCCCCACCTCTGCCGCCTCTGCTCTCTCTCTCTTACAAGAACACATCCATTGGGAATGCCAACCATTCATTTTCTTTTGCCCTTTAACCTCAGCCGTTTATTAAAATTTCCCTCTCTCCCTTTTTTTTTATCTCTACCGGGGCCTGTGTATGATACATCAATAACTTGTACAAACTATTGAAACTACAACCATGTACAAATGAGCCATATTTACAATACAACAAGTAGGGAGAGAGAACGAAAACACTTTCTGGCTCTGTTCCATCTCCTGTTATATTAGTAGTATCTCTTATCTCTCCTTGTTTTCTCTCTCTCTCTCTCTCTCTCTCTCTCGCTTTCTCTATCTCTCTTTTCTCTATCCTTCACCCTCTTCTTTGTATCTTTAGCAACTCAACAATCAAGAAGATCAGATCAAGGTGTGAGAAACCTATCAAAATCCACTGATCAGTCAATCTATCAATCAATCAAATCAAGGCCTTAATAAGAAAAAAAATTCAGGAAAATCAAAAGGATGTCGTCCTCATCAGCTGCTTTTTCACCGGACCACCTATCTCCCTCCGACCAGCTCTGTTACGTCCATTGCAACTTTTGCGACACAGTTCTCGCTGTATCACTTTCTCTCCCTCTCTCTCCTTCGCTTTTGTCCCCATTGTGTTTCGTTATTCCTTCCTCCAAACCCTTTTGGGCTTTTTTTTTTCTTAAGTTTTTACAATTGCATTCTTTTTTTTATCTGTATCCATCAGGTGAGTGTTCCTTGCACTAGCTTGTTCAAGACTGTCACAGTTCGATGCGGCCACTGCACCAATCTTTTGTCCGTCAACATGCGTGGCTTGCTTCTTCCTGCAGCCAATCAGCTTCACCTTGGCCATTCTTTATTTACCCCTCAGAATCTCCTGGTAAATACTATTCATTTTCGTTTGTGAAGAAATTAGGGTTTCAAATTCTACACTTTTCACACTTAATTCTCCACGCACTGTTCAA